ACAATATAATATATGATTAAGTTCATATTTCAGATCAATGGGTAAAATAAGGCTTATTCAACAAATAAGGTGCATGGACCACTATTACTTGAAATAAAACAAATATAGAGCCCTATTTCACACATTCTACAAGAAATATTCAGATGAGTTAAAAATCAATATGTAGAATCTAAGGAGTTTTAGAAGAAAATAGAACTAATATTTTTCATGACCTGAAGTAAAATATTCTAACCCAGAAGCTATAAATATTGACAATATACCTATATTAAACATTTAACTATATAGTAATATACATATAGAAAAGTTAAAGGACAAGGAATAGAATAGGAAAATATTTGCGACACATCTAAAACATGGTTAATAGGGGGTTTTTTTTTTTGGTATTATTTAGGGAAAAAATTCTACAAACCTTTAATCAATAAATGGATAAAGAATACCAAAAAGTCATTTAAAGCTTTTTTAAAAATAATAGAAATGGGCAAGAAATATATATAAAAAAAGGTTTAGTTTCAACAAATAATAAAGGAACAATTAAAGTAACATCATTGTCACAATCAGATTAATGAGTATTAAAAATATTGGTAATATCAAGTATTGGCAACTCTGAAAGGAACTAGGTATTCATAGAAACTTTTTCTTCATCTTAAAGCAGTTCCTTTAGCATATTTTGCAGTGCTGGTTTGGTGGAGGTGTAGTGTTTTAGCAGTCTTTTGTCTGGGAAACTCCTTATTTTGCTTTCCATTTTAATCAAGAGCCTTGCTGGGTAGAGCAGTCTTGGTTGCAGGCCTTTGCTTTTCATGACTTGGAATATTTCTTGCCATTCCCTTCTGGCTTCTAGTGTTTCTGTTGAAAAGTCAGGTGGAAACCATACCGGGGTTCCCTTATATGTTACTACCTCTTTCAATCTTGCTGCCTTTAGGATTTTCTCTCTGTCTTTGGTATTTGCCATTTTAATGATGCTGTGTCTTGTAGTCGGACTCATTGGGTTTCTCTTGAATGAGGCCCTCTGTGCTTCCTGGACTTGTGTGACTTTTTCTCTCCTCTAATGAGGGAAATATTCCATCTTTACTTTTTCCAACAGGTTCTCTATCTCTTCCTCATCCTCTTCTCCTTCTAATATCCCTATTATAGGGATATTATTATGTTTCATGTTGTCCTGCCTTTCCCTAAATGTCTCCTCATTCTTTTAGAGTCTTTTTTCCATTTCTTGCTCTTTCTGGGAGCTTTTTTCTACCTTGTCCTCCAGCTGGCTGATTTGGTCCTCAGCTTCATCTAGACTGCTTTTGATTCCCTTCTACTGTGTTCTTCAATTCAGAAATTGTATTCTTCATTTCCTCTTCTCTCTTGTTGATAATTTCTGTGTCCTTTTTCATGCTGTTATAGTTTGCAGTAAGTTCCTTGTAGCTTCACTGTAATTTTTGGTAGTTCTCTCTGATCTCATGGAGCTCATTGAGCTTCCTTGTTTTGAACTCAATGTCTGATAGTTTCCTTGCCTCTATTTCATTTAGTTCTCTTTCTGGGGATTCCTTCTTTCCCTTCGAGTGGGGCGTATTTCTTTGTTTTCCCATTATTTGTGAGACTCTGCTCTTTTGCTTCTACTTCCTAAGTTGATCTGTCTTGATTTCCTGACTTTGTGGTGTGTACTTCTATGGTTGGAGACTGCTGTTTTTACTTTCTGGATCTGCCGGTGATGATGAAAGATGTTGTCTATTTAAAAAAGTATACTCAGAAAAGACTTACATTTTCTTTGTTTCTAGTGTATCTTATCAGTATCAGTAGATTTCTTTCTTATTTTGATGTTACTTGAAAGCTTTTCCTATTATACAGTATAAAAATAACCTTGTGTGTACTCCTTTTGTACTTTGGGCATTTTATCTTGGTAGAATCCTAGATACAGAATTTGAGGATAAAAAAGTAAAAATATATGTGATTTTGTTAGATATTATTAAATCACTCTCCATAGAGGTTATATCATTTTCCAATTCCATTAGTAAGAAACTTGAAAATAACCTATTTCTCTACAAATTCACTAACAGAGTATATTGCCCACAAGTTGAACTTTTGACAGTCTGATAAATGGAATTTATTATCTCTATGTGGTTTTAATTTATGTTTCTCATATGAATGATGTTGAGTGTGTTTTCATGTAACTTGGAATTATATGACTCTTTTTCTATGAACTGTTTATGTTTTTGATACTTTTTTTCTATTGGTTTCTGGTCCCTTTTTCTTGATTGTTTTTAGAGTTCTTTGTATAATTTATAGGTATGTGTGCTTCTTCTTTGACTTTGTTGATATCTTTTGCCATCAGGTTTTTGATTTGTCATGAAGTGTTTTGTTTTTACATAATCAGATATCTCTCTCTCTTCTCTTATTGCTTCCAGAGTATGATTGTTTTATATTTTTTAATTTATTTATTTCTTTTTTTTTTACTTTTCCGGTACATTTGACTCCATTTACCTGCCACCACTTTCCCCTGCCCCACCCATCCCACCTCCACCGATCAATCCTTCCCCACCTTGGCTCTGTCCATGTGTCCTTCACCCCTGTTCCTTGATCTGACCCTTCCTCTTCCCCTCCCTGTTACTCCCCTCCTTTATGCCCTCCCGTCCACTGTTTGTTTCTTCTTTCTTTCAATGTTGCTGGTTGTATTTTCCTTGCCTGCTTGCTTTGTTAGCTAGCTTCCACTTATAGGTGAGATAATATGGTATTTATCTTTCACCGCCTGGCTTATTTCACTTGGCGTAATGCTCTCCAGTTCCATCCATGCCATCGTCAGGATAGTAGCTCTTTTCTTTCCTTCTGCTGCATAGTATTCCATTTTGTAAATGTACCATCGTTTTTTGATCCATGCGTGTACTGAAGGGCCCTTAGGTTGCTTCCAGGACTTGGCTATTGTAAATTGTGCTGCTATGAACATTAGAGTACGTAAGTTCTTTTGGATTTGTGTATAGGGATTCTTAGGGTATAGTCCCAGCAGTGGAATCACTGGGTGAAAAGGGAGTTCCAGTTTTTATCTTTTTGAGGAAATTCCAAACTGTTTTCCACAGTGGCTGTACCAATCTGCATTCCCACCAACAGTGTACTGGGGTTCCCTTTTCTCCACAACCTTGCCGGCACCCGTTGTTTGTTGATTTATTTATGGTGGCCATTCCGACCAGTGCGAAGTGGTATCTCATTGTGGTTTTAATTTGCATTTCTCTGATGGCTAATGATGCTGAGCATCCTTTCATATGTCTCTGGGCCCTGTGTATGTCGTCCTTGGAGAAGTGTCTGTTCAGGTCCTTTGCCATTTTTTAATTCTATTGTTTGTCTTCTGGAGTGGAGTTGTATGAGTTCTTAATATATTTTGGAGATCAAACTCCTGTCTGAGGTATCATTGTCAAATATATTTTCGCATGCGGTTGGTTCCCGTTTTATTTTGCTGATGTTTTGTTTAGTCATGCAGAAGCTTCTTATTTGGATGAACTCCCATTTGTTTATTCTTTCCTTTATGTACCTTGCTCTAGGGGACATATCGGTGAAATATTGCTGCTTGGGATATCTGAGAGTTTCTTGCCTATGGTCTCCTCTCTTTTTTGGTGTCGTGACTTATAATTAAGTCTTTTATCAATCTTGAGTTTATTTTTGTGTATGGTGTATGCTGACAGTTGAATTTCAATGTTTTGCATGTAGCTGTCCTCTCCCAATGCCATTTGTTGAAGAGGCTATTTTTACTCCTTTTTATGCATATGCACCCTTTGTCGAATATCGATTGACCATAAAGACATGGGTTTATTTCTGGGCTGTCTATTCTGTTCCATTGATCTCTTTGTCTCTTCTTGTGATAGACCATCTTGATTACAGTGGCCTTGTAATATAGTTTGATGTCAGGTATTATGATTCTTCCTACTTTGTTTTTCTTTCTCAAAATTGCTGCGTCTATTTGGGGTTGTTTATGATTCCATATAATTTTTATAAAATATTTGTTCTTTGAGAAATAAACCATTGGTATGTTAATAGGTATTGCACTGTATCTATAAATTGCTTTGAGCTGTATGGACTTTTTTTTTAGGTGTCTACAAAAGATTTTTTATTAATTAAATTTTCAGAATAAAGAAATTTAAAAAATAACTATGATACTTTTAAAAACTATTGAGTAATGAATGATGTTTACAATTAGAAAAAACTTGAACCTTAAAGAGGAGACTTAGTGAAGTACCCAGGACTACAACAATGAAAGGAGGTGGACAGACCTGTTATATGTAGACTCATAAAAGTCCTACACACTAACTTTTTAAACAAGAAGCAAATTGTACTCATGGTATCAAAGTTTTTTTGTGAAACTAATTATTCAATGGCATCAAAAGGCAATTCCTCTTTATAGAAAAGCTTTTACTCTAATCCAGCCCTATATTTACTTTCTATGGCAATTTATATGGGAATGGAATGAGATGTAGTCCAGTTTTAAAACAAATTCAACAAGGTTGGCACTAAGCAAAAATTTTTAGTAATCTATGCAGTATTTAAAAAATAATTGAGAAATATGACAACCTAAATTACTTTCAGATATAAGAAGAGGGTAGAGATCTTGGTGCAGATACACTTACCTCAGGGAAGTACAGTCCTCAAAGGCCAACAGCCCACAAGGGGAAGAGGAAGACATTCATTCTGTGTAACTCTCTCATGAACAGCATTCTCAGGAGCCTTACTAATTACAATTCATAAACAGTCAGTTAAATTCTAATAATGACTGTGTATACTCCCCAATCCCCTAAATAATTTCTTCTCAGAAATACAATAGGAAAGGGACTGGGTTCTGGAAAGAAATGGTGAGGCTGTGGAACTCCAAGTGGGGATGCTGTCTCTTCACCCCCAGGAGGTGACTTGCATCCCCATGTTCTGCCTCACAGTCTCCTGCGTATGAAATATAATTTGTGCAATTTGTCCTTGAAAAAAAATCACAGTGGAGCCTGAGAACTCTCTGGGGCCATTAGTTTTTGTCCTTCAGTATCCTAAATTCAGATAGTCGTAACACCCGAAATATCCTTTGATTTGTTCTTCCTCTGATGTCTTGTGTCGTTGGGATCAAAACCTCTTTCACTGGCACCAAATAATGCCCAGGGAGGCATTTTGGCCATATAATCCTCTGCGCCGAAAGTTTTTGATTCACCACTGTCTTGGTATTCCTGAATAAGCTCCTGGAAGCGGTTATAATCAGTCCACGTCCACCATTCTCTATCAATCTTAAACTTCTTGTGAGCAATCAGGGGGCAATTGGAATGTTCATGTTCACAAGCAATTTCATAGTCAGGGATCAGAGCCACCAATTCACGGACAAAGCGTACCACTTCCTCATGCCAGGGCACATTGACCATGATGACTGCTTGCTGAACTCTCTCCACAGTACGTAACACCCTTCACTTTGATGAAGTCAGGGCTCCCTACAGACACCAGCTTGGCATAGGCTCGGAGCTCATCCACGTTCCAGGCTTTAACGAGAGTCGGTCTATAGACAGTACGCTGTTGCTTTGCTGCCAAGGCTTTTAAACTGTCGAGAAATCTTTGCCAGAAGTCCTTGAAGAGTGGGTGGTCAATTTCCATCAGGCTATCTTTGGTGCTAGCATCCACACTGACATATAGCTGGGTCACCAGTTTGAGATTCCTGATTTCCATAGGGAATTGTGCATTTGTGACCAGGAAACTGGAGATTTTACACCCATGGAGTAGCTCCAAAAACCTGTTAATTTCTGGATACATGATGGGTTCTCCCACAAGGGATAATGCACAGTGCTTTACCGTCATTCCTTCTTTAAAGCGCTCTTCTTTAACACCTGGTACTCCTTTAAACTGCTTGATCATGTTCTGATGGTTTTCAATGGCTTCCTTTAAGATCGATTCAGGCTGGTCCATCTTCCACCGCCACTCAGTGGCCACTGGATTGGTGTGGTACCCTGGTCTTGGCAAAGACAGGGGCAGAGTGGGCTAGAGACACCTGAAGAGAGACTGGGGAAGGAGGCTTTGGGGAGAGAACTGAGAGAGTATCCGACGGATTCTCGGTGCTCTGTATGGACATTTTGATGATGTGAATTCTTCCAATTCATGAACACGGTATATGCTTCCATTTATTTGTGTTTTCCTTTCTTCCTTCAGTGTTGTATAGTTTTGTGTGTATAGGTCTTTTACCTCCTTGGTTAAGTTTATTCCTAGGTACTTTAATTTTCTTGTTACTATAGAAAAGGGTTTTTTTTTTCTGATATTTCATTTTTGGTATACAAAAATGCCTTCAATTTCTGAATATTGACTTTGTATCCTGCTGTTTTGCCATATTCACTTATTAGGTGGAGTAGTTTTCTGGAGAAGTCTAAGGGATTTTCCATGTACGCTCATGTCATCTGTGAACAATGATAGTTTTACTTCCTCCATTACAGTTTGGATGCCTTTTATTTCTTTTTCTTGTCTGATTGCTGTGGCAAGGACTTGTAATACTATGTTGAATAGAAGTAGACATCCTTGTCTTGTGCCTGATCTTAGTGGGAAAGCTTTTAGTTTTTGCACATTGTATATGAGGTCGGCCGTAGGTTTTCATATATGGCTTTCATTACGTTGAGTTGAGCCCCCTTTATTCCCACTTTGCTGAGTGTTTTGATCATAAATGGATGCTGTACCTTGTCAAATTCTTTTTCTGCATCTATCGAGATGATCATGTGGTTTTTGTCTTTCCTTTTGTTTATGTGCTATATTACTTTTATTGATTTGGAAATATTAAACCATCCTTGCATCCCTGGGATTAATCCCACTTGATCATAGCGTATGACCTTTTTAATGTGTTGCTGGATGCGGTTTGCCAATATTTGTTGAAGATTTTAGTGCCTAGTTTCATCAGCAGTGTTGGCCCTGATTTTCTTTTTTTGTTATGTTTTTAACTGGTTTTAGGATTAAGATGATGCTGGCCTCAGAAAAAGAGTTTTGGAAAAATAAATTAATTAAAAAAAAGAATCCACTTCATACCTTAAATAAATAAATAAATATATAAATAGATAAATATATAAATAAAATTTTATCTCAATGTAAAAGTTATCTAAGATTAAATGCCCAGCATGATTTTGAATAAAATGCCATCTTTAACCACCTTAAAAAAAAAAAAAAAGTTTTGGCGTTTTCACTCCTTATGGATTTTTTGTAATAGTCTGAGAGGTGTACAGGTTAGCTCTTCCTTAAATGATTTGTGAAATTCTCCTGTGAAAATGTCCAGTCCAGGGCTTTTGTGTGCTGGGAGTATTTTGACAATTGCTTCTATTTCACCAGCTGTTATCAGTCTGTTGAAGATTTCTGCTGCTGCTTCATTCAGTGTTGGAAATTATATTTTTCTAGAAATTTTTCCATTTCATTGACTTTTTCATATTTCTTGGAATATAGTTGCTCATAGTAATTTCTTAGAATCCTTTGTATTTCTGTGGTATCCGTGGTTATTTCTCCTCTTTCATTTCTGATAGTATTTATTTGAGTCCTCTCCCTTTTCTCCATGATCATTCTGCTTAAAGGCTTGTTGGTTTTGTTTATCTTTTCATAGAACCAGCTCCTAGATTGGTTGATCCTTTGAATCATTCTTTTAGTCTCTGTGTCATTCAGTTCTGCTCTGATCTTCAGTATTTACTTTTCTCTACTTGCTCTGGGCTTTGTTTGTTGTTGTTTCTCCGGTTCCTGAAGCTGGAGGGTTAGGTCTTTTATATGAAATATTTCTATCTTTTTGAGGTAGGCCTGTATTGCTGTAAACTTCCTCTCAGGACTATTTTGGCTGTGTCCCATACGTTTTGTACTGTTGTGTGTCATTTGCATTTGTTTCCAGAAACTTCTTGATTTGTTCTTTAATGTCATTTTCGACCCGTTTATTGTTTAATAGTGTGCCATTCAGCCTCCATGAGTTTGAATGTTTTTGAGTTTTTTCCTTGAATATGGTTTCTACTGTCAAGCCCTTGTGGTCCAAGAAAATGCTTGTTTTGATTTCAATTTTCCTGAATTTCTTGAGTCTTGTTTTGTGTCTTATCATGTAGTCTATCTTTGAAAATGTTCCCTTTGCATTTAAAAGAATGTGTATTTTGCTTCTTTGGGATGAAAGGTCCGATATATGTCAGTTAAGTCCATTTGATCTAATTTGTTGTTCAAGTCCACAATATCTTTGTTGATATTTTGTTTGGAAGATCTATCCGTTGTTGACAGTATGGTGTTCAAATATCAGTGTGTTACTGTCTATATCTTTTTTGAAGTCCTCCAAGATTTTCCTTACATATTTGTGTGCTTCTGTTTTGGGTGCATATATGTTTACAATGTTTTTGTCTTCTTGATGGAGTCTTCTTTGAGTAGTATAAAATATCCTTCTGTGTCTTTGTTTATGGCCTTTGTTTTGAAATCTATTTTGTTTGATATAAGTATTGCTACCCCTGCTGTTTTTATCTGTCCATTTGCTTGGATTATTTTCTTGACCTTTACTTTCAGTCTGTGTAGGTCCTTTGTTCTGAGGTAGGTCTCTTGTAGGCAGGATATGTGTGGGTCATGTTTTCTTATCCATTCAGCTATCCTATGTCTTTTGATTGGGGCATGTAATCCATTTACATTTAAAGTTACTATTGATAGGTACTACTTCATTTTTTTCCCTTTGTATCTGTGATCCTGTCTTTCTAACTCTTTTTATTCTCCATCTAAAGCAGTCCCCTTAGCATATTTCTTAGTGCTGGTTTGGTTCAGGTGTATTCTTTTAGCTTTTTTTTGTCTGGGAAACTCCTTACTTCACCTTGCATTTTAATTGAGAGCCTTGCTGGATAGAGTTGTCTTGGCTGCAGGACCCTCCTTTTTATTACTTGAAATATTTCTTGTTCTGGCTTTTAGTGTTTCTGTTGAGAAGTCCACTGCTCGCCATATTGGGGCTCCCTTGTGTGTCACTACCTGTTTCTCCCTTGCTGCCTTTAGGATTCTCTCTCTGTCTTTGATGTTTGCCATTTTAATGATGATGTGTCTTGGAGTCGACCTCATTTGGTTCCTCTTGAGTGGGTCCTTCTGTGCTTCCTGGTCTTGCATGACTTTTTCTCTGCTCCCATTAGGGAAGTTTTCCATCATTACTTTTTCAAATAAGTTCTCTATCCCTTTTGCCTCTTCTCCTTCTGGTATCCCTATTATACAGATATTATGTTTCAGGTTGTCCTGCATTTCCCTGTATGCCTCTTCATTGTTTTTGAGTCTTTTTCATTTTCTTGCTCTCTCTGGGAGTTTTCTTCTATCTTGTCCTCCAGCTCACTGATTCGATCCTCTGCTTCATTGAACCTGCTTCTGATTCCTTCTACTGCGTTCTTCAATTCAGAAATTGTATTCTTCATTTCCTATTGCTTCTTATTGATAGTTTATATGTCTCTTCTTCATGCTGTTACAGTTTGCAATAAATTTCTCATAGTTTCCCTGTAATTTTTGGTAATTCTCTCTGTGCTCACTGAGCTTCCTTAGAACCTTTGTTTTGAACTCTGTATCTGATAGTTTTCTTGCCTGTTTTTCATTTAGTTCTCTTTCTGGGGATTGCTCCTTCCCTTTGACTGAGGGATGTTTCTTTTCCATCCCATTATTTGTGATACTCTTCTTTTTTTCTTTTGCTTCTTCAATTTATCTGTCTTGACTTCCTTACTTTGTGGTGTAACTTCTATGGTAGGAGACCACTTTTTTTTTCCTTTCTTTCTGGATCTGCCTCTGATGATGTCAACTGTTGACCCTCTCTGACCTTAGGCTGTGTTTTAGAGACTTTCAGGAATCCACTGTCTGTGACCATGTCCTTCATTTTTTAATCTAGTCACTCTGTCCTCAGCTGTCAAGGCTGGGCCGAGTCCCTTCTGTGGGTAGGGCCATTGTGTCCTTTCATGCTGCTGCCACTCAGGGGAGTGGTCTGCCTGAGCAATATGGCTGCTGCTGTGTGGGGGAGGAATCAGCATTGGGATGCTGCTCCCTTAGTATTCTCCCTAACTCCTCCTTCGCCAGACTTTCCTTGAGCGTCCCTGTACCACTCTGCATACCCTTCAGCCAGGGATCTACTATATGTGAATATTGCTCTGTACTCAACTGTTGGGGTTACCCAACACCTGGCCTGCGCTGAGCCTACTGGTATCGTGGCAGTTGTGTCCTTTCATGCTGTAGCTGCTCCTGGGAGTGGTCTCCCTTAGCAAGATGGCAGCTGTGGAAATGGGGGTGGGGTGAATCAATACCAGGACCCAATCATCCACTTTCTCAGTTTTTTCCCCAAAACCTCCCTTCCCAGTCTCTCCTGAGGTGGCTCTAGCCTACTTTGTCCCCTCCTCCACCGGAGCCCAGGGTAAGGGCTGTCTCTATAAGTTTTTGCATTGGCCCTTTTAACGGCTCCTTTCGTCTCCAGCCACTTGTCTCGCAGAGAGCACACTGCCACTTTTCACAGCTGGCTGTTATCTGTGTGCCTTTTTGGGCTCTGGTGCTGTAGGCTAGAGATTCCCACTTATGGTTTAGGCCCTGCTCTTCTCAGGGGGATCCAAGGGGCCATTTCAATATCCCTCTGGCACTGCCGCCTGTGGGCACCTAGTCCACCTTCTCAAGCCTCTATCACACTCGTTACCAGTTGGTTGTTCTGATGCCGATTCCTTTGTTGTCCAAGGTTTTAAGGCTCCCCTTTCGCTATTGTTCAACTGTTTTCCAGGTGATTTCTCCACAATTTAGTTGTAATTTCGGATTTGTCCTGGGAGGAGGCCATTGTGACCTACACTCACCCCTCTGCCTTCTTGAAGTCCCAGATTTTGATTGTTTTAGAAAAGCTTTCCTGATTCCCAGACTATAAGAATTCCTATTCATAATTTACTCATAGTTTCTTCCAGTGCTTGTATGGTATCATTTTTTATATTTAGGCCTCTCATGTATTTG